CAAACAGATGGCCTTCTTTAGACAAGGAACTCATTGTGCTATGGCTTATTCACCGATTTTTATGAAGGCTCCAGATGGCCTTTCCTCGTTTGTGAATCCCCATTGTTTCCCCCCCCCCTTCCCCCATTTCTCCTACTGTGAAACATCCATGAAAGAGGAAAAATGGTGGAGTGGCTCCATAGAATACCTTTTGTCTGGCAGTGTTGATGCCATCTGTTTGAAGGGCCCCCCCTTTCCCCGATAATTGCATTATTTCCCCCAAGCTTCCGACCTCTTTCTTGTTTGCTTTCGTTCCATTCTATAAAGCTTTAATTGCTAATTTCTACTTATAGCAAAGTGGTTACTTTGAGCTGGAGGCTGGGCAGTGTTTACATTCAGGCTGAAACTATGAATACGGACACAGCTACGGGCCGCCGCTGAATGTCTACCTCGGTGATTGCTGTTGTGTGGTCATGACTCAACCGAGGTCAAGGCAGGGACAGAAGAGAGGATAAGGCTAATTCTTGGTTGCTGAAGTTTTTCAGGAAAAGCAGCACTATATAAAACAAGCGTTTTCAATTTATATCTCGACTGCCTATTCCTGGTTCTCCCCTTCCTGCCATCCCCCCCTTTCCACGTTTATAAAAAAAAGTGGATGTTGGCAACATATTCTTTTTTCTATTTCAGGGGTCTCTGTGTCTAAAGAAAGAAAGTTTTAGCATTGAGCACAATTTAATGGGAACTTGGGTGACCAAATTTAAACATGACCCGGGGTTAGATCCTTTCCTAATGTTGCTGGTTTTGACAACAGGAGCTGCTTTATTATTAGTTACTGAGGAAAAGGGAGGCTAAGGAAGGAATGTGGCTCAAAGGATGCTAACCCTGGGTGGTTGTGAAACTCTAATAATGCTTTGGAGGTTCTAGCACAAGGGTGTCAAACTCGTGTTGTCATGACGGTGTCGTGTGATGTATTGCAACTTTTTCCTCCTTCGTTAAACCTGTTCTGACCTAAGCTTCCCCAACAGCACGGAGCCAAGTCCTCGTCCCGATAAACCCCTTGTATTTAATTTACAGTGAATTCCTCTCCAGCAAAGTCCCGGCTCAGAGTCTTTTAAGATAGTTCACAATTACCGACCTTTATCAGGCTTGGAGAGTGGCCAGGCCGATATCTTTCAGACGCCGCAATACTTGGCAAGAATGCAGGAATGAATTAATTGTCTCCTGCAAACACCCCTCCCCTTTCGCTCTTCTTTTATTCCATCTGGGAGGGGCCATTCACCGTCCACCTGTGGCTTTACTCCCAAGTCAACCTGTGTTCCT